GGAAGGAAGGAAGGAAGGAAGGAAGGAAGGAAGGAAGGAAGGAAGGAAGGAAGGAAGGAAGGAAGGAAGGAAGGAAGGAAGGAAGGAAGGAAGGAGCACGGAAATAGAGAGAGAGGAGTATCAGGATCAGAGCCCACATGTCCTGTTCCCTCTGCCTTTCTGCTGGCAGGCAGTAACCCATTTTCTTAGGCTCTCTCCCCCGGGCCTGGTGCTTTCCTGGTCAATTCTGGCTGTTTCAGCCTGGTGGTGATTCTGGGCAAGGGTTTTTCCCAAGGACTGAGAGCATCTGTGCTGTCGTTGTTGCTTCTGCCTGGTGAACACTGCCACTGAAGGCAGGTTTCCTGTCAGGACAGCACTGGACTCCCAGGGGGACGGAGCTGGGATGGAGAATGAGAGACAGAGAGGCTCTAAAAGCAGCTTCACGGTATGTTCCTTTCTATTTTCCCAGGAAACYTCCCTGCTGTTCTCCTCACAGGTCTAGGAGATTCACAGTACCTCTGTCCTCTGCACAGCACCCTCAGGTGGCCTCTTCTGAATGGGTGAAAACTCTGTGTAGGCAAGAGATCCAGSGAAGTAAAAGAGCACAGGCTTGAAGAGCTGAGAGATGGACAAGGGTGAAAGGAAGGCAGGTAGCAAATGACAGACAAGAAGGGAACATTATGTTGTCCCCCCGGCAGCATTTCTTTGAAGAAGACAGTTCTTGTAGAGGCAAGAGACAAAGAGTATATAGGCACAAGGCTGAAAAATCTGCAAGAAGAGGTGCAATCTGTCACGTTGTGTAATCCACTTGCATGCCAAACAGGATCTCCCTTTGCCAACCAGAGCACGAGCTGAAGCAGCCATGGGGAGTGCTGTGTTTCTCACCTTCTGTCCCTCTTGGACTGTGGAAAGAGACATAGAGAAGAGCAAATATGAATAGATGATCCAGAACACCTTGGCTTTGTCCTAGACTTTTCCTTCACTCTTTCCCTCCTGACATTCACTGTCCTTTTCTTCTGGTGTATCAGTAATTGGTATCCCCTTGTTCCTGACCTGTGCACAGCCACCACTCCCTCATCTTCCCCTCCCGCCATGCAGAATCAGAGGTCAATGGGCTTTCTTTGGAGTGGACCACAGTCAGATGCATGATGTGCTTTGTGTCCTACAACATTTCCCGCATGGCAAGGTTCATGATCACCTCGAGGACATCTAACAGGATTCTGTACTGTGTTTTGTTCCTTTCAAGGCTTCCATTTATAACCCATCATCCTCTACTTCTCCTCAAGGATCACCCAGAAAATCTTAGTTGCCTTGTGATGCTTCCTCAGTGTTTCCTGACCCGCATTTTCCATGCTGGCAGAAGCAATGAAGATCATGTGTCTTTTGTTTCATCTGCCTTGGCCCATTCCTCTAGATGCCAGGCGGTGTCTTTCCCAAGACTTCAGCCATCTGCTCTTCCTCTGCTGCTCTTCTCCCAAGGCTGACCAGCCAACAAGCGACTTCCTTGAGAGCATTTTTACCCCTTTCCACCACTTGCACCTGGGATTAGTCCTGGGAATGTCTATACCACRAGACAAAGACACGGTGCGCATGCCCAGGTTTTTCTTGGTGGAGAACGCTGTATCTCCATCATCACGGAACAGCCTTACTCAGACTTGGTCACCTCCCACAGGTGTCTGCACAACTCTGGGTTTCCTGCACATGAATTTTTAAGTTGTTTTGGGTTTGACGTGGAGGAAGGTCAGCCAACTCTCACTCTCAACCCTTGGTCCGATATCCAGTGAGTTTGTAAGCCAGCAGAGAGCCACAGCTTTGGGGAAAGGCTCCCAAGTCTACTTTGGGTCCATCTTTAAAGACACTCCAAGCAGCTATTACTAGAAATTCCAGCCTAATCTGGCTTCCACATATTGGTCCTACTGCCCCAAGGCACCAGCCAATTTTCAGTCCTGACTGTGGAGGTGACCTGCCTGGGGATGTGCTTAAATCTGTGCCGGGCTTCCATGGGGCTTGGGCTAAGCTGGGATGAGGCTCCATCCAAATCCGTATCCCACCTCTGAGTCCCACTTGGTCCCACACAGCCAAAGAACTCCTGGGTTTCCTCCACCTCCAGGTTTGTGACCTCGGTGAGTCTCTGTCGCAGATGCCTGCATTGTGCTTTGCAAGGTTGTCTGCCGCAACTCCCACAATGTTTGCAAACAGTCCAACAGTAGAAATTACAGAGACAGTCTGCACACCCCCTCCAAGCTGCCGGGCTCTTTATGGTCATGATTTGTGACTTTTGTTTCCCATCAGTGGTTCTGTGCAAAACAAGAAACCCATGGCTCCATGCTGAAGAAGTGGATTGCTCCACAGGAAGAACAGACGGCCTCACTTTGTCCCTGGGCAGGAACAGACAGAAATGGGAAGTGTGCTGAGTAGCAAGATTTTCTTCTTGAACCATGGCTGTTTCACAACTGCAAAAGGAAAGCCTCTTGGATGTGTATTTTGTTTGCCCTTATCTTTACATAGTGTACCTGAGAAGTAGAGCAGGACATGCCTTCATGTCTTGGTTGCCTGAGGAGGAGGAATAAAGCTTGATGCAAGCAAACCATGGCCACCAGCAAGGGGGAGCAGCCTAGATGATTAGATTTTCTCTGCAGAACAGGAAAGGTGAGGGAGTCCGGAGTAGGCAACTGAAGAGCTGGGGCTGTTTCTTCAAGAGCCAACTAAAGGAAACACTCTTTTGGAGAAAAGGCCGGGTGGCTTTTGATTAACCACTCATGTAGAGGTGTCAGGTGAGCAAAGAGCCCCTTGGGGTGAGGGGACAATGTCAGGGGAAATTTTTTGAACCCAGAAGGTAATGACTAACCAGGCACAGGCTGGGAAAGAGCACAGGGGAACCACATTGAAAGCGGAGGACTTTTGGAGTATGCCATAGCGGGACCAGATGCCCCAGTGCTGGGTCCCCCTGCAATTCCCTGAACAATCCCCCACTGCAGGGGAGCTGGATGAGGATATGAGCTGTGAGGGGACATGTGACATGGTCACGGAATGAGGGAGGAGTGCTGATCTTGTCCCAAACTCCATTCAAYAGTTCCAGGTGCCGCCTCGTGGCCAGAATGTTTATTGCACAGACTCAGCAGCGCGTTCCTCCTTCACAGGRCTTATCTGTGGGGCTGCACTCTCCTCCTGGCGGCTGCTGATGTGAACATGCTGTCCAGAGCCTGCCTGCGTCAGGTGTATCTCTTCTCCCATGCCAAGGAGTAAGGTGTTGGGCATGGAGGGACCATATCTGGTTTGGGAACCATGATGGGCAAAGGCACTCTTGCGATAAAGAAAAGAAGAGAGAACAGTGAGAAGCCGTATGCCTGGGATCTGTTCTTGGTCTCAGTGTCAAGGAGGGATGACATTCCTGCCTCTCCCTCATTCTCTCTTCTCCTTGGCATTGCAGCTCTTGGAGGGGGCCGATGGCCACCTGCAAGGGGCTGTTCCTGAGTGGGACTCTTGGAGTCCTCAAAACACCTTCCACACTTAGAAGACAGACAAAATTACCACAGCAGTGAAACACTTATTTTCTAGCACAGTGGATCTCTCTATCATTTCCTCACTTGAATTCTGGGCTGCTCCATGATTTCCTCACTTGAATTCTGCTAATCTCTTGGATCTCCCCAGAGTGGGAAGAGCACCCCAGCATTCAGGCATTCACTCCCATCTCTACCATGTTCCCATCCCCGTTCCCACCCATACTGTCCCAACCAGTCTGCAGAGTGGGCATCATACCCCAGAGATGGCCAGGGCAAGGACATACCCTCCTCCTATCCAGAGCTAGGAATGTTCACCGCTATCCATGTCTCCCAGTGAGACATGTTCCCAGTGAGAAGGATTCTCTCTTCCTGACTTTCCCCACAAAATATTAGCTGGGGTCTCTGTGCTTCCTCATTCCCAGAGAAATGGATTTCAGTTCTAGTTTTTGGGGGCCCTGATCTATCCCTTGATGCAGACTCACCTGTGGGAATCATTTTCAGGAGACTCATACGTGAGTGTGAATTGAGGACATGGCCTATTGGATACAGAGGAAGAGTAAATGGATACATATATGTGAATACAAATGGACATACATATGTGTGTGCACGCACTTGCCACTGCCCACAGACAGCATTGTATCCATGCCATTCTCAGTATTACACACTCAATTCTGCACTTCCTCTACATCCTCCTCCTCCTTTGGTAAGCGGGGACATCTCCTGAGATGGTAAGGAAACATGGAAACACCTGAGAGTCACAGTGTAGATTTAAACAAGCCTGTGTCCCACTCAAGGCCTCTTGAGTTGGGGAACAAGTCTTGAGGTCCTTCTCAGGTCCTGTCTACGGACACTTGGCCTCATAGTCCCACTCCACCTGTGACCAGCAATAGAGGGGAGAACGCAGGCGCTCTGGCTTCCAGTCTCAACCCAGCTCCTCCTACTGTTCTTCCACCTTGGAGGGTCACCAGCATCTCCCTTTCACTTGCAGGGAGRCTGGAGGAGACTCAGAAGATGTTGGTTCTGCTGTTTCTGCTGTGAGAAGCACCGTTGGGGCTGTGGGCTCTGCTGTGAGAAGGGAACTGTCTCCAACACTTCACCATAGTTCTCCACTGGACGCCACCATGCTCACATCTCCTGGGCCCAGTGACTCTGGTCCTGCTGTGGTCTCTCCTCCRGGAATCCCAAAGGAGATTGAAGTTTTCTGATCAAGATAATAAAGCTGATGTTCCTACTAAGGTCTCGGGAGGATGGCTTAGTGGCTAGCTGTAACCACTTGCTCCTGTTGCCGAGGGGAGAAGCAGGATTCCTGGCTTCTCTCTCCMGSYTTGTGGCACTGGRAAGATGCTGGGAATTAACCCAGAGGAGGATGCAGTGGCTGGTGCCTGTGCCAAATCTGGGAAGAGAGGTCAGCATTTTGGGAGCCTGTAGAGCTGGGTTCATGTGCCATCTTTGGGAAGAGAGASGGAACATGAACCTTGGGAGTAGGGAGAGGGTAGGACTCAGCGCTCTCATAGCTGCCCTAGCCCCAGGCTTGACTGCCTGGATGACTTCCATTTGCCTTTGGGATAGGGCAGTCCCAGGGACAGAAGGTCCTTCATGCTCTGGTGCTCCTTGGTTTGTGGCTTGACCAGGATCTCRGCAACCCTCTCCTGCCTACTCTGTAGCACAGTACTACTAAGGTCTATGGCTGTTCGTTGGGAAGACCTTGCTCTGGTGTCACAAAATTCCTCCACAAGCTCAATCTGGGACAACAGAAGTAGGAGAGAAATCATGCCAAGGGGCACCCAGAGGAGGCCTCCTGGAGGAGCCTTGCTGAAGAATGTAGAAGAAAGAAAACAAGCTTGGGGCAAGAGGGAGCGGTGGAGAGAGATTAGGAAGCAGTGATAAGCCAAGGCGGGGACTGGCAGTACCAAGAATCCATGGACCTAGTAGGGATATGAGGGCTTGGCTTAGGTAGGGCTGAGGTGGCAGGATCTGGCAGTACCCTATAAATCCATCGCCAGGCTCAGTAACCTGCACAAACCCCACCTGAAGAACACGGGTACCCCTGTTCAAAGGGAGAGCAATGCAGGAACACATCTGCATTACATTCCTGGCTGGTTGTCTCCTGGTGCTGGGGTGCATCGCGGCRCCTCACCAGGTAAGAGAAGCTTTTGCTTAGGGCATTGCAGAGCCTGTGCAGAGACAAAGGGCAGCAAAGCATGGAGCAGAGGAAAGACTGGAGATGTTATCGGAGGATGGGGACTGTCTCACACAATGTCTAAGCAGTGGGRGATGGGTTCTGAGGGAAACTCTGTCAAGACCTCAGGGGACTGAGTCAAATGTGTCCTTTCAGAATGCTGGCAGCTTTGACCACGCTCGTGCAGACTGTAAGAGCATCAACAGAAATAAGGTGAGTAGCAGTGGGCTCCGTGTGGACATGGCATCCTGTACCTTTGGCTTGARAGGAAAGAGGGTCCTGCAAAAAGAGGAAGTAACAATTTCATGGAGGGGAGGCTGTAAGGGTAGGATGGGACCACTGATGGGAACTTTAGAAGGAACCCGTGGGTGGAGAAAAATGTCACAGATTCACAGCCATCAGGGAGCTGAACAAAAACATCTGCCAAAAGAGATCAAAAAAAGGACTCATGGACCAAGGCCATAGGTATATGGGGAGACTGGAGCTCTGAGTAACTCCTGGCTTTTATATGCCCCTTTGCAAAACAAGCTGCATAGAAAAGGGGAAATTGCAGCTCCCCTGATTTCTAGTAAAGGATGGCATCAGTGTTGGAGCGTGTTTCTCAGGTCCTGTACCAGGACTGTCTGTGAAGTCCCTAGACGCAGAACCACTCCCTGGTCCCAGACCTTGTCCCAGGGTTGACTCACTCCTCTGACAAAGAGTTTGTGCTCCTGACCCAGCAGGATTTTCCCAGCTCATCTTCTGCCCATTGCCTTTCAGGCCTTTTCTGAGCACCTCTGAGAAATGTCTGCTCTAACCTCTCTCCTGCACCCTTTGGAGAGTGGGAAGTTGCAGCTGGCCCTCCTTTACCTTTTGTCTCCTGACTGGACAAACCAGGACCTACCACCACTCCCCAGCTGCCCTGTGTTCCAACCTCCATTGCCTCCAATCCCTTTGTTGGACTTCTCCTTCTTCCTGGATGCGCAAACTGACTCCACTGCTCAGACATGCCCTCCCTGGTGTGGATCAGGGGGGAATTTATCCCTCTCATGGTACTTGGAGCTCCACACTGCATAGCAGAGCCCAGTGGATAGTGGATTATTGCCTCAAGGCATCGTATTGCTGCCCTGAACACCTGTGGCTTTTTTTCTGTTGCTCTTGTTCCTGATTCACTCATTCTAGGTTTATCCAGCATGTGATTTGGATCCATTTAGTGCATTGACCTCCTTTAAGGCAAATGGGGGCAGATCTTCCCCGTCATGTTTAATTCTTGATGGAGGTTTTTGCTCCCAAAGGTCATATTCACCAAGCTTATATTCTTTCCACCAGCAGGATATCTTTAGACTTGATAGCAAAATCTGGAACACTGCCAGTTTCAACAGCAATAAGATAAGTTTAAACTGAGTTTCTTTGATGGTTGATACTAGCCAGAAGAAGTAGTTGCTTAGGCTGTTCCCAAATGCAAAACCAAGCCCAGAAGTGTCCAAGCAGTGAGGAAGAATGCAGCATAGCTGCATCTATTCAGCTTCATAATGTCAGTCTACACAGTTAAAGTCTAAAGTTCTCCATAGAATGATGGGAAGATGCAGATGACTTCGTATTATAGAGTGTGCCATATCTTTCTGGACAAAAATATAACCTTTGGAGAAGTTGTTTTGTGTGGGAAAGGGATGGCATACTTGGACTCAAGGGGACTTGGACCCTTTCTGGGACTCAAGGATAGTCCCAGAAACTGTGAGATACAATGCTTTAAGACAGGGGGCTCTAGAGACTTAAGAGAGGGGGACATGGCTCATGGAAAAGGGATCCAGAAACATGAAAAAGAAAAAAAAAAAAAGACATGTAATTTAATTATCTGAGAACTGGAAATCGATCGGTGACCTGGGTCCCAATGAAGTGGTCTAATAATATCCATGATTTTTCATTTTCTCTGCTCCATGGGCTCAGTGAAGTACATCTTTCCCTTCCCTGAAATGGCTGTTGAGAAACTTAGTTTGTGAGCTCCACAGACCATCTTTCCCTCTACTGGATATCAGCRACTTCCACTCCTCTGGAGTGGCATGGCTAGGGATGCCATTTCTGGCACTAAGAAATAGTTGGGTTTTTTGGAATTCTTTTGGGAAGGGACTCATGTCAGGTCCCAGTCTCAAGGATATTTTGGGGTTTTTTTGGTTTGTTTGGTTGGTTTTGTTTTTTTTTCAACCTTAATGATAGGTCATCCTAATTTTGCCTGAGGCCCCTTCCTCCATCAACCAGAATAACACAACTTTTGTGTCTCGTGAGTTGATCTTTGGCTCCCCTTGGGCCTTTGGGGCTATGGTGACCCACCCCATATTTCCCCAAACTCTTCTTAAAGAGTATTCTCAACAACCTCAAAACTTGCACCTCTCCTTTTTCTCTATTGTCCAGACCCTCTCTGCAAATACTGACCTTTTTAATCGTAGGTATCACAGGATCCCCTAGCAATTTTCCTCTATAGATATACATACTGTGTGCATGGACAAAGGGAAAATGTGGTCAGGAAAAAAGTAGCTATCGAGGCAATGGAGAAATTACCAGGACCCAGGGAAGTTTCACTCAAAGGCTGGAGAAGGAAATGTGAACCACAATTGGATGCTCCCTGGATCATAATTGGATGGCTGTGACTTATCCAAGGGAATAGAGGGAGGAAGGTAGAGATGTCCCTGTCTCTGAATATCCTTCCTGAGAGATCCCAGTCTATGAACACAAGAGAAATCAACTGGAGAGAGATGTTCTGGAGAGCCTCTATGTTGAGTTGAGTATTTTGTTCTCCAGTGAATGTCTTTTATTATTCCTTCTGGAATTAGAAACAGAATCACAGAATGACAGAATGACAGAATCACAGATTGGTTGAGGTTGGAAGGGACCTCTAGAGATCATCTAGTCCAACCCCCTGCTCCAGCAGGGACACCCAGGGCACATGGCACAGGGTGGCATCCAGGCGGGTTTGGAAGATCTCCAGAGAAGGAGACTCCACAGCCTCCCTGGGCAGCCTGTTCCAGGGCTCTGTGACTCTCACAGTAAAGAAGTTCTTCCTCACATGGAGATGGAACTTCCTGTGTTTCAACTTGTACTCATTACCCCCTGTCCTGTCACTGGCCACCACTGAGAAGAGCTTGGCCTTTTCCTCCCTACATTCCCCCTTCATGTACTTATACGTATTAATCAGATCCCCATCTGAATGATGGTTCCCCATCAGAACCATCATGACAAATAACCACATGATATAAAGTCTATCCTCTCTTCCATCTCAGCCTGAACAAGAGTTACCCAGTAGCACTGTCAAATAAACCCACCTTCTCACACACATCTTTGTCTGGTGTTTTCATTCTTTTTGTCTCAGTGGTTATCAAAGTGTTGGCAGGCTGATTCTTAGAAAATAGGACACACTAGATCCATGGAGCTGGAGGTACCACAGCCAAGAGCAAAGCCCTGCAAAATGGGAGCTGCACAGCCATGTGGGAAACTGAGGGAAGGGAATTAAAACACTTGAAGTCATGTCATACACTAGACCAGACACAGGTTTTGTTCTAGAGTTTGGCCATGACCTAGACCCTTCCATCCTGCTCAAAGCGGGCTGAGCTGCCCCCAGCAGTCTCCCTGCTGCAGCAAATGAAGGGGATGTGGCTGGGTAACTTTCCAATCTTTTTTGCAGGACTTCGGCATCCATGACTATCCCTCTCTGGGTGATGAGAGACACCCTGGCAAGCGGGTGAGAATCTGGAGGGCTCTGTGCTTCTCTTTGGTCTCTTTTTGTTGTGCAGTAGCAGTGAACTGACCACCATTAGGTAGTTACTGGGGACAAGAGAGGATTTTTTTTCCCCCACTGGACCTGACCAAATGTCTCTCTCCTCTAAAGGCCTATGTGGACTCCAACACATGCACAAAGGTGCCCTGTGGCCTATCAGGAGAGTTGCCAAATGTCAAAAGTGATTTAGAACCTTGTGACTCAGGTGTGTGCTTCCAGGGCATTTTAAAATCTCTCCCCTTCCTCAAATACCAATCTATCTCATTTGATATGTTCTACTGAGCCCAAAGTTCTTTTTTTTTTTTTTTTTTTAAGTGCTTTATGAGTTCCTTTAGTGATTTGGAATCTTAAGGCTCAAGTCAAAACATCTCATTGTCCCAGGAAACTAGTCTAAAGGAAAAAGCCTAGCAGGGACTTCTCTGATATTCAGAGATTTACCCAGGGAGCATCTGATATCTTTACCACCAGAAAGAGTCTGGCATCCCTACTGACCTCTGGAGTACTTGGAGAAGGGTCCAGGGAGGCMTCACACACAGCATGAGGACACCAAGTTCTGGGCATAGTCAAGTCCTATTTCCATGTTTCACTCCAGACTGGCTCTGTATTATGGTACCTACAATGTAGACATTATGGTTGGACAAATGTCAAGATCCCCGAAGCCCAAAGGAGCACTGAACATTCCTCATTTCCCTTTTCCTTGCAGGACAACAGCTTCATTGGGAATCATGGTGGATCAGACAGCTTTCAGAACAATGGAGGGACTGAAAAGGTGACTGATCAGACAGAATGTAGCTGTGAGGACTCTCTACTCCTTGGTTTGATGGGTGCTTCTTTGCTCTGCTTGATTTCTGCGTTCCTCTTCAGAGAGGTTCTGGGATTTGAATCCACATTCTTCATACTCTTCGTGCTGAGAATATCCTTTGTCCTACCAGGCCCAGAAGTCTGGAAGAGGGAAAGCCAGGGCTTTTCCACCAAGTCCTGGTCAGTGGTGGGGCAGACTGGAGGGGGTGTCTGTCCCTGAGAAATGTTCAAAGAGTAATCAAGCTGTCCTGGGATGCAGCTCATAGGCACAGACCAACCCGGGATCTTGGGAGAAAGATCTCCTCATGGACCCCAGTCTATTCTCTGCTTACAGCAAGGTCCAGCCAAAGCTGGGGATATGATCTGGTGCAGGGAGATCCAGAGACATGAAAAAAAATTAGTTCTAGATGGTGTATCCCAATCCCAGAAATATCAAAAAAGTGAAATAAAAGGCTAAGTTCTAGGGGCTGTGAGGGTATTTGAATGTCAAGATATAGGGCATGGATGAAGATGTAGCAGGTAACAGAAAGGGATTGGGATACCTGTACTGTGCTTGGATCGGGATACCAAACAACTTGTGCTATTGGTTAGCAGTGTCCTGAGCCCACTGGGAACACCTCAGATGAAAGTCAAGGCAATAGATGTCCATTTGGTTTAGGCTGTGGTTTGTGAGTCTGCATAACTAGAATTAGGGCTGTTGGCATAAAATCTTACCACTTGTATCTGCCATGCAAAATTGCTCAAAAAGGCTCAGACATCCAAAATCAATCCACAGACAGCCCCGATTATTTCCACTGAGAAAAAAATGTGGATGGTCTTCATCCCTGGATTATTTTCAGATCTCTTGGGTTACTGTCCCTAGATTATTTTCAATTCCCTGTCGAGAAAGGATTATGGGATTATTGCCCATTTATATTATGAGATAGATAGAATTTGGTTTATGAATTTAGTGCTGTTGCCATTACCAGTTCAATTCATATTTTAGTTTGGGGTTAATCCCAAGTGGTATTTCAAAATTCATCCTAAATGATATTCCAGGAATAATCCTCACTGAGTTTATGGGAATAACCCTAGGATGATTATGGTATTAATCGTCAGTGTCATTATACAACTATTATCATTGGCATAATGGGATTGCTTCCACAAAAATTAAGCAGTGATTCCCCAGAAGGATCGTAGGATTGATCCCCAGATGATTATGGTCTCTCTCTATCTCATGGATACTCTCTGGGCTCTACAACCTAGCGACATGACTGTAGAAGTCATGACCGTAGTCAGTTCCCAGGCTGGACATTTTTGAGCATAGATTTGGCCTTATTACTGTACATGTGACTTTAGCAGGGATATAGAGTGTCCACTCACTCACCATGGGTGAGGGATGACATCAGTTTGTCTTCCTAGGTCAAAGGCAGGTTTGATGGCAGGATCGTGGGAAACAACGCTTTCAATGGCCAAGATGTAAGTGATATTTGGGGGAGGCCCAAGACCCTTGTTCCACTTCTTGACCCAAAGGAATAGAAAGGGCACACAACTCATCCTGTTCCAGGGCCTGTGGGATGGAGAGGGGGAAGTCAGGCTAGGTTGATCTGTGCCTGAATATAGCTCCAGTGACTGAAAGGAGGCTGAGCTCTTTCTGAGAGATAAAGTAAGGGCCACTGGGCACAAGAGAAAGCCTGGGACATTCAGACTATACAAATCCCAGGACTCTGATCTGAGCATGTGATTAGTCACCGCTAGCATATCTTTGAGCACACAGTCTTTCTAAGAACCCCAGAATTTGTTTTAGCAAGGCTGAAATAACATCAGAGCCATTAAATGTTTTGATTAAGGAAAAGGATTAAAAAGGATTAGAGGGCACTTCTCCCCTCCCCCCCCACCCCATAGACAGGGTCATTTTTCTCCCTTCCAACCACCACCAGAGAGAATTAACACATTTTGGTCTTTCTTGGCAGAACTACAATGGATATGCAGCAGTCCCTGTAAGTATCGCAAAAAACAAAATCTCATTTAAACATCTCCCATCCTTCTTCAGAGTTGTTCTACACTGCGACTGGTCCATAGACTCACAGAGATATATGGAAAGAAAGGCACTGATCTGTTCCAGTCTGCTCTCAGCTCAGGGCAGGGTTGTATACCAAGTTGGAGTATGTTACTCAGATCCTGGACCAGGGCAATTTGGAAAGTATCCCCAGATGCAGAACCACCCCCGGTCCCAGACCTTGTCCCAGAGTTGACTCACTCCCCTAGCAAAGAGTTTGTGCTCCTGACCCAAGGATTTCCCTGCCTCAACTTCTGCCCATTGCCTTTGAGGTTCTTTCTGGGCTCCTCTGGAAAAGTCTGCGTCCAATCTTTCTCCAGCATGCTTTGGAGGGTGGGAAGTTGCAGCTGACCCTCCTTTGCCTTCTTGTCTCCTGAATGGACAAACCCAGGACCTGCCACCACTCTCCACCTGTCCTTTGTTCCAGGCCTYAGTGTTTCCTAGGCCTCTCCTAGACATCTTCCTCCTCCTGAAGGCATGAACTGGCTCTAGTGTTCAGATGTGGCCTTCCTAGCATGGATCAGGAGAAGAAGGATCCCTCCCCTGGGAGCCCCACTCAGTCTAGCAGAGCGCAATGTATGATGAGTCATTGCCACATCCATGCTGACTAGGGACAGTGTGTTGTCCTCTTGAGTCCTTCTATTTAAAGCAGATCCCCAGAATGCTGGTCTTAGACTGGCACAGTGCAGGGAATGGCGGGATAGCAAGCTGCAAGCTTCTGAAACCAAGTAACCCACTACAGAAACTTTTCTATCAGCAGGAGGCCTCTGGACCATTCTGGGTGCAGTCTGCTCCCTGAATAGGCGTCTTGTTCAGTCAATGTTGGAAAATATTTATCAGAGAGATTTTTTCCTGCAAATATTTGCCAGTCCTGGATGGGAGGAGGACATGGGGCAGCCCCTGCTCCAATTAACTGACCAGGAATTTATTCATTTTTTTTTATCGGAGCTTCCTGCTCAGAAAGGTCAGGGAAAGAAAGAGCTGGCAATGGACTTTGCCAGAACCAAGATTGTTTGAAAGTCATTTTCTGGCTTCTTCCCAGAAGACGGATGCTTGGGAGACATATGGAACCAAGGAAACATTTTCCAGATGTGGACGAGGCACACAAAAGAGTGTTCTCAAAAAAAGGAGTGGTGGAGATAGATTAAGTAGTGGTGATAAGCCAAGGTGGAGACTAGTATTATCAGGAAAGCCATGGGCTGGGTCAGGATATCAGGGCTGGCTCAGACAGGGCTGATGTGGCAAAATCTGGCTGTTCCCTATAAATCCAGCTTCAGTCTTAGCATTGTGCACAGTCCCAGTCTGAAGGACAGAGTACTCTGTTGCAAAGAAGAAGCCATGGAGAGAAGAATCTGTGTTGAATTCCTGGCCATTTCTCTCCTGCTGCTGGGATGCGTTAAGGCRGCTCCCCTGGTAGGACAACTTGGAGAGGGTGGGGGATCTAGGATATATAGGGATCTTTAATGTCCCTACAAAGGGAAGAGATGAGACAGATATGGACAGAGGACTGGTATCATCTGGCATAAAACTGCAGATGGTACCAGAGCTAGGAGCACCAGAAAGACCCTCATTTTTCTGCTACTAGCTTAGGTGGGAGGGAAATATATTTCCCAGATATTTCTGACTCCATGGCCTCAGTCATGGCAAGACCACAGTAATAGTCTATGTATGTTTTTTTGCAGAACTCGCACAGCTTTGATAGCAATGTAGCTGGGGACGGCAGCTTCAACGACAATGGGGTGAGTATGGATGCATCTGAGCCAGAACACAGAGGAAAAATAGGGTTTATATTAGAGTTCCAGGTAGATGGGGAAGGGGCGGGGGGGAGGAAAGGGTGGCTGAAATGAGAAAATATTTAGAAAATATCTGCCATCATGGACCAAGGAGGATATCAGTGCTTTCATGTCTCTCTCTCTTTCTTCCTCACTCTCACCCACAGAACGGTGCTGATCCTCTACCAGGCATCTTTGTAAGTATTATGAGAGATCAGGACCCCATCACAACAGGAGCTAATAGGCAGTCTCCTTCTCATCAGGTTCCCAAGCA